GGCCGCCCAAGGCCAGAAGGAGTTGGGCACTTGGGACTGAAAACAGGGCCTCCTGCCTCTGCCCGCTGCCCTCCTGTCTGGGGACGGGTGGGTCTGCGCCGAAGTCACCTGGCAGCCCCGAGGTCTCTGTGGCCGAGCAGCTCGACACCGGCCTTGGTCTCTGCCCGCGCTGTCCTGGTGACCCTGGAGAGGGATCTCTGCCCCCAAAAGGGGACAGAGGGACCCAAACCTTCCCAGCCCTCTTGTTCCCCTCCCAGTGCCACTGGGGAGGGGGACGAGACCCCCGCAGGCTGCCACGCGCTGCCCACCGCTGCCTGCGCCCGCAGGAAGGCAAGAGTAGCGAAGCAGGCACCGAACATAACGTGGCCCTGGGCTGTCTGTGCGCCTTTTGATCGCCCGTAACCTTCCTGTCTCGGCTAATTAACCGCGTTAGGGCGGCTCTGCTTCCCGCCTGAGCGTTATCGGGCAGGGCAGATCTGGGGCAGCGCCAGCGGGAGCCTTGCTCCGCTGTTCTGGGGGGGTCAGGCAGCTGAGAGCCCCCGCGGTGGCTGGGGACGATGCCCGGTACCCTGATGAGGTGCTGGCGATGGGCAGCGAGGGTGGGAGAGCCCAGGGCTTGCTGCGGGGTGGGGAGGAGCTGGCCCCGTCCCCCCGTCACAGCACGCAGGCAAGAGCCCAGTGCACCAGGGTCCCGCTGCGCAGCCGGCCCTGCGTGCCGTTGAGGGGTGGTTTACATTGCCGTAAGCCAGGCCTGTGCTTCAGGGAGCCTCTGGGGTGTGACGGACCCCAAAACCACACAGAGCGCTCCCCTAAAGCCAAATGCGTGCTGTGCATCACCCTCCTCCCCTGCTGCCTCGCTGCTTGTACCCCGTGACTGCGCGACGCTCCAGCTTGGAGGGCTCCCAGGCAAAGACACGCTGAAGGGCCGTGGGGATGGAGCTGGCTTTTTAAACATGTCACCCCAAACCTCTCCGTGCCAGCTGGGCAAAGCCGCCCTGCCGAGGCCGGGATG